TGTCATTTTCTCAAGCAATGTTTATTTTAGGTTATAAAGATTCTCACTATAATTGGGAGCAATGTACATTTATCTTTTTTTAGATGGAAAAGCAAAAGTAGCTATCTGGAAATCACAGATGTTTGCACTCAAGTCTCCATCAGTGAACAGTTGATGGGGCAGTTGTGGCCTAATGGTTAGAGAGTTGGGCTTATAACCCTAAAGGTTGTGAGTTCAAGTCTCAGGTCTGGCAGGGATTGTAGGTGGGGGAGTGAATGACCAGTGCTCTCTTCCACTCTCAATACTACAACTGAGGTGAGACCCTTGAGTAGGGCACTGCTGCGAAAAAAAGGCTGCCCACTGCTCCTGGTGTGTGTGTGTGTGTGTGTGTGTGTGTGTGTGTGTGTGTGTGTGTGTGTGTGTGTGTGTGCGCGCACACACATGGATGGGTTAAATGCAGAGCACAAATTCTGAGTATGGGTCACCATACTTAGCCGCACATCACTTCACTTGATAAGGTCTGCAAAATAGAGTTCAAATTAAAACTGTAATGAATTCCGAAATGATGCTGATATTCATAAGTTATAAATTGTACTTTTTGACTATACAGTTAAAGAAGGGAAATGATTTAAAATTGCACTATCCAGTGAAGATGGGTTCCCTTTTGAGTCTGGTTCCTCTCAAGGTTTCTTCCTCATGTCATCTCAGGGAGTTTTTCCTTGCTGCCATCACCTCTGGCTTATTAGGGATAAATTCATAGGGATGAATTTATAAATTAAAATATATATCCAGAATTTATATAACCCTGTTTCCAAAAAATTGGGATGATGTGTAAATTGTAAATAAAAACAGAATGCAATGATTTGCATATATATAAAATTGAAAATAGTACAAAGGCAACATATTTTGAAACTGAGAAATTTTATAGTTTGTTGAAAAATATATGCTCATTTTGAATTGGATGCCAGCAACCCACTCCAAAAAGTTGGGATGGAGGCATGCATCACCTCTTATTTTAACAACATGTTTGGGAACTGAGGAGACCAATTGCTGTAGTTTTGAAAGC